GAACGGAAGAAGCCGACCCGGGCGCCGCCATGTTTTGCCCCTTGGGTCGGTGGGCGCCCGCGTCACGTGCCCTTGCGGTCTTTTAATGATTTTGATCCAATTAATGTACTTGAAATGAGAGTCAGCGCTGAGATCTTGAAATCAAGAACAGCTGAGAAAAAAGAAACTTGGTTAAACGTTAACATCGGGGCGCTTCACGTGACTAGGGCGTGACGTCACTCCCCCGGGATGTAGGCGGGGAGTGCTCGAGGGGGCGAGGCCAAGGGAGCGTTGAGTGGGCGGGGCTAATGGAATCCTTCCTCCTTTCATTCTGTATCTCATCAAATATTATGCTAACTAATTTCCTAGAAATATTTCTGTAATAAATAAACTTAATAATTAATATGAGTCATCACGTCTGGGAGATAACAATGTTATTCGCAATTAAAAATCAGATAGCTAATTGGAGAGGAATTCGACATAGGAAAAATGTTGCAGGTGGCTTAACACACCTTCATTAGTGGAAATAAAGATTAAATAAATAAATAGAAATAAAGCCAAAATAAAGGCCCGGCTCTGTGCAATTTGCATCGTGAAAGTGCAATTGATGATACGAAGATGAATACATGACACATCATAGATGATCACCAAGGTGGGCTTTTTATCCTCCTGACTTTGGGTGTCTAATTGGCGTAATTTCATAATCCCCGCCTTGAAATGTACAAATAAAGGCAGGTATAAATCTAATAATAAACAAACCGCCTTTTTGAAAGTGTCAAAATGCTCTCAATATTTAACCCGCTTTCCTCTCTGCAGCTTAAAAGTTTCGGAGCACGCTTTTGATTAGACCCATTTCACAGATCGGGAGCGTGGAGGAGAAGAACCCAAGCTCTGGGGCCATGCAAGTGGACTCAGAGAAGGAGAACTTCAGAAGCTGGATCTCCAGGGGCATTTGACCCTAGAGAAGCCTTGAGTTTCTTGGTCATGCTATTCCTTACCTTTGCTGCGCTCTGCACCAGGTTGAATTCCCCCCAAGAGAATAGCAGAATAATTAATAATAATAAGAATATAAGTATTGCAACCCACCTGCAGGGAGAAAAAGCCACTGCACTAGCTTGACCTTCCCATGGAAAGGGACCTCCAGAACCACGTAACTTGTGGCATTTTGACCGTTCCATCTCTCTTCAACGTATACGATTGGGGACAACCCCTCTTCCTTTCACACCACCATGGGGAGTTCAAGAATCAGGGGCGCAGACTCCTTCTTTGCGAACGGGCCACTGATTTTCCCAATGTAGGTAAGGTGGCCTGCTGTGAAAAGCACTGGCATTTTAAGCTTTATTTTCAAAAGGAATTCTCATGCATCTTTTAGGTTGGCTTGGAGCGCGCCTAAGATGCTAGCAAAAAATAGAGACTCTACCCCAAGTCTCTGTTTAAAGCAGTGTTTCTCAACCTTGGCCACTTTAAGATGGGTGGACTCCAGCTCCCAGAATTCCCCAGCCAGCCAGCTGGCTGGCTGGGGAATTCTGGGAGCTGGAGTCCACCCATCTTAAAGTGGCCAAGGTTGAGAAACACTGCTTTAAAGGCATCTGAAGCAGAAAGCAATGTCCCTTCTGGAGGCAGGGAGTTCCACAGCTTAATCAGGCACAATATGCGCCTTAAATGTGCCCGTGCTCAGCTCTCATTACGGCAACCGTGCAGAAACGCGTCCGACGAAAGTGCCTCAAAGGGCCTTAGCTAGGGCAGAGTTTTCTCCCCGCCCTCCAATTCGGGATCTCAGCAACCCGCTGCATTTGCAACCCTGAGCGGATGGTCCATCAGCACATTTATTTTTAATATTGGCACGTTGGCGCTGGACGGGGCAAATCTGCTTCAGGAAACCCTGCTCATACTACTAACGTGAGGGAGGGAGATAGGAACATTTTACACCATCGGGGTCGCCCCCGATCCGTGGCAGATATTGGCTGGCTTCCCCGATGGCAGGGTTTGTCTAACCCTGAATAACCCACAATTACCCAGGTTCCTACCACCTGTTAAGCCATCAATCATGGTTAATAAGGAACAGGGCTCACATGCAAGGCAAGCCTGGTACTCCGGTAATTGTTGGTGCAAACTCTTTACGCCCAGCTTCCTGTGCGGGGTGACCTTCAAAAGGGCTTTTCAGAGGGAGAGTTGACAGGACGGGTGTCCTCCCCACCCCATGGACACAGGCCTTTCTAAATATTGACTTATCAAAGGTTAGAGCAAGTTCTTCCCCTGGAAAAGCCACGGGGGATGCTCGGCCGTCCTTGGGCGTCCTGGTCTGCGGAGGGACTCCAAACCAGTTCATAATTCCAGTCATTCCCCCCGCGTCTGAATTTGTCCCCAGCTTCTTGCGGTCAAAGATAGACTGCCTCTGAATATGAAGGTTCTGTGTCATTTTTCTGTGAATTGCAAAGGAAAGAGTGGAATGGGGGGGGGGACACAAGACTAGGAGGGGTAGGGTTACTATGTCCATTTGGGGCAGAGGGTGTTTTATTTGTATGTCACCCGTTCCCAAAGATTCTGTTGTACCAAAAGATGCATCGTAAGACAGAAGTGAAGCTTCTAACAAACACAGGACAGGGAAGGTTCTGATCCCAAGATCAATCATTGTATAAGAATCACGCAATGAAAAGCATAAGTAATGAGACAGACTGGGTTGATGTATGGCAACAAGCTATGGTTTGTTCAAGAAGCCACCATGGGTTGGGTTTATATATTGTGCTAAGCCATACCCCACGAAGCCATAAAACAGGGTGGGGGCCTCCCACGACCCCATTTGTTGCAGGATTAATTTTCAGGATTTCCCCCTCCCGCCCAAAAAAAATATGGATGAAATGAGATTGGGGAAATCCTCCTATTTCCACCCGTTGGTCCATAACGGTAGAGTCGAAATAAACCTATTTTACCTCTAAATTTGTTGATACGATTTCAGGCAGGTGAAGGAGGTGTGAGTCACATTTTAAGGGTGCAGGTGGAAATCTTCTGCTCCCTTTTCCATTTTTCCTTCGAAAGGGTCTTTCAAAAAATCACAGCATCTCTAGAAGGCTTTGGACAGCTCCCCCAGTGGGTTGGGAGAGTGCGTGTCTACCGGTGCTATAAACCATGGTTTACAAGTCACACAAACTGGGTTCACACAAGACACTTAGCCAGACACAGGATGATTTCATCTGGTGTTTCAGCTGAACCAGCTTTTCTATTGCTGTTACAGTTTGTAAAAATGCTTCCGTTGAATCTTTGTTAACTGGAATGGGTGACAGGAATGGAACGTGATGGGGGGCAAAATGAGATTGGGGAGGAATATGGGGGAAAAAAAAAAGTATTTTTACAGGCCCTTAAATGAAGGGGTGGGGGAATGAAAGGAGGAAACGGAGTTCCATTTTTTGGATTTTAAATAAGGATTTCTCAGCGTCTCAAAGCTGGAGAAGGCCGTCTTCGATGCAATCACGTGGACCCAGAATCCAAAGGGGTGAATAACCAAGATATTACCCATTTTTCTCCCCCTCCCCACCGGCAAAACTGTGGGCTGCCTCTGAGCAAGGAAAGGTTCACATCCATCAGAGAATGATCTTCACCAGCCTCTGTTAGGCTCTAGATCAGCCTACGACACGGGTTTTACTCTCCTGCGGGCAGTCCGTCCATGGCGCTTCATACATCTGGAAGGACAAGATGTCAAGCCTGTTTAGATCGACCGACTCCTATTTTGTCTCAAGGGGTTGCAGGAAACAGAGAGGTTTCGGGGTGCTGGTTGGAACCCCCCCGGGAGGCAGCGTTCAAACCAAACAGTGCCCCAAACCAACCACGTTTGCAACGAAAACATTACTGCAATCTTCTTGTCTGGCCAGATTGCTAGCAAAAGATCTGGCCGATCTTTTCTCTAAAAATGAAGTTTATCTCTCAAAGATAAAGCTGGAGAACATCCTTCCGGAAGTGTTTGGGGTGGGTTTGTACAACATCCTTAACCTGGTTTTTGAATGAACTTATTTTGCAAATTAGCGCGATCCATTCAGCCATACACTAACCCACCAAGCTAGGTTTGTACGATGTAAGCCACAAAAAATCAGCGCACGTTAAAACTAACTACAGTTTGCAGATACTAAGTCTTTGACACGGTTAAGGGTGTCATAAAAACATGTTGTCTGCCTTCCACCGGCTAGATAAATTGTTCTTGCGGTTGTTATCGCTACTATCAATATAACTATTGTTATAATCCACCCAGCTTTTTAATGTGCCTGGTTAGATGGTTAATGGCTGATTCTAATCTTTTAATTGCTTTTTTTAAAAAATCACTTTTGTTTTTCCAGTATAATTCACGTACTGCTGGTAGTTGCTTTTTGTATCATGGAAGGAAAGGATATAAATGTCCTGAAAATTAATTTACTTTCCATTAATTAGAGAAACATTTCTTCCACTGTAATTCAACAAATTTGATGGTGTCCTTAAACAATCCTTTCCAACCCAAGCTTGCAATAATTCCTTCAAGCTTGCAATAATTCCTTCAAGCTTGCAATAATGCTATTAATAATGGAGCATAAGTTTCATTTCAGAATATCCTTCTTCATTGGTATTGATTTCCACCAACAATGCAAGGCCAAATATTAGCATTTTCATCCCCACCCTGTGTTCACATGTGTTGGACTCCAGCTCCCAGAATCCCCAAACAGGTTGGAGAAGGCTTTGATCATTCTTTCTTCACACAGATTGCTAATGAGGCCCTTTTGGTGGCCTTTCACCCTGTGTGAACTCTGAGCCACCGTACCTATACCAGAATCCTTTATGACACTGATGTTCTTCAGTGAATAGGGATTTCCTTTAGAAGGTCAGTTGTGAGGAAGGGGAAAAAAATCACCAAGCCATTACAGAGTGAGAGAAGCCACTACAAAGGGAGGGCAAGAGATATAAGAAGGGAAAAGAGTCTTGCCTGCAAGTCGTCTCATTGAATTTCATGCCACGCCTCTCACAATGCCCAGCATTGTGGCGACAAACACATTTGCACGTGTGTGGATCTGGCTGCTTCTTCCTGTCCCGACAAGGTGCACAGGACTGACTAGTGGGAGAATGAAACAACAGATGAAGCCTGTTTTCCATTCCTTGCAGATCCCCATCAAATGTATGCGGGGACAAACGTGATCACAACTTCCCATCATTTTAACCAAAGAAGGATTATACATTTTTGCAAAGAAATCAGTTAAACCCTATTCTTCTGGAGCAGCCTCCACTGACTATCCACCAGAATTACTTTAGTACCTGAGTAAATCAAGTTTGCAGGATCTGAGGGAAGGGAAGGGAAGGGAAGGGAAGGGAAGGGAAGGGAAGGGAAGGGAAGGGAGGAAG